ATATATATATATATATATATATATATATATATACGTATATATAATTTATCATATTTATGTTGAAATTCTGCTCTTAATGCTTAAGCTAATTTGATCACTTGTCTTTTGATTTATAGTTTTGAATCTTGTCGAAAAACATTTTCTAAATTTAGTTTGGATCATTTCATATAACAATGATTTATGCTAGGAATAGACTTGGATTTGTTAGTCATTTACATCCTTATATTTAATACAAGGATTTAATCTTGATCATTGAGGAATCATGTGCCAAGGTTTAACCCATAGAGATTCAAACTTGAGGAATTAGTTTGAGTGACTATATGGATGTGAGAAAATGAAAACTTGAATTCATATAGAAGATTCATTGAAAAGTATAAGGGTTGTGAAAGTACATTTGACCACAATCTCTCTTTTGCATAGGAATCACTTCTTGAATCAATCTTTTATTAAATATCTCATTTGTAACTTATCTTATTTACATGACCTGCTCAATATAATTGTGTATGGTTGTTTATACAAATTGAATTAGGAGGGAAATTACATAATATCCCCAAATCCCTAAGAACGATATCATAAATTACTACATGAGGTTTGACCCACTTGCCAAGTGTGAAAATCCTTCACCATAATGCTAGATAAAATAAAGAGGATGTACCAATAATTTTTATATAAGAAAGATATAAATGTTATATAAAATAAGTGATGCGATAAAAAATGACAAGGAGAAAAAACATGTTACTATTATTAAATAAATTTATTATATATATACAAATGATATTAATATATTGTTGAGACTTGAGAGTGAGTTCATTTTTTTTTTACTGCAATTAAGGTTTTTTTATAGTTTTGATTATTTATCCTAATTAAGAAAATATCTTGAAACTTAATAACACTTAAATCTCATAGACATATTTCCATCCAACTAAGAAATACAGATTATACTTATCTGAAAGTACAACAATAAATCTCTAATGCTAGGCTCTAAATTCTCCTACTAACCAATAACTTCGAAGGATAAAATTACCTTTAAACCCTAAACATTTAAGTTAATACGAATTCAAATATCTAAGATAGTAATAAATTAACATTAATTTGTGTAATTATTTATTCCGACTATAATAGGTTTAAATCTATTGGATTTAATAGGATTATTGATGACAAATTGATCTCTTAATCTTGTTTATCTTCTTTATTAACTAGATATAATTACAAATACTTCAAAGTATAGCTGTTTTGATCAATATATAAGAGTAAACTTATCACCATCTATTCGATTGTCTCAACCACCGAGACAATTGAGACTGAGATAATAGCGTCTAAGTACTTATAGTTGTTTTGACCATTTCTTCTTGTTTTTTTGGGCAAAACCATTTCTTAATATAATTCTTAATTAACGTGCTAATAACAATTGGAATCTGCAGAATATCTGGTTTATTTGGGCACGATCCCTCAAAAGTGATTTATTTTTAATGAAAACAATGTGCATACCACAAGAACGTTTATACATAATTTTACTAAAAAAATTCGTAATATAAAACTTTACTATAAAGTGATTTGTCACCAAAAGTTTTGCCCCGAAAAAATATATACTTGTAAGAAACACTAAAACAATAACTTAAGTTGCCAATACCATAAAAAACCTCTTTAATTAATCCTAACATGCTGAAAATCAGGACATATTTAGTTCCAATATTATACGTCCAAGTTCCAATCTCCCAAAAAAAGAAAGGAAAAAAAAAAAAGCCTCGTATTTTATTCACATGTCAGCAAAATACTTGACTACCTGTAGATGGGGCAATAATAATTAGCTACTCATCACATAATTTCCTACTTGCCTATTTTGTTATGGACCACTCTCCCACTTGCACCCATTTTCAACAATTTTAATTTTGTAAACATTAAGATATCCTTTAAATTCTACTCAACAAACAGAAGAATTCAAATCTGAACCAAGGGTAGACCCATGTTTTGTACTAGCTTTCTCTATTCCTATATTATATGACGAGCAATGCAGCCAAAAGGTGCATCATATTCTACGTCATATGAAAGCCCTTCTTACTCCTCAACCTGCACACAAGCCTTCCTCTTCCATTTCTCGTTCTTATTACTCCTTTTGGACTTTCTATATAATGCTTTCTTTGTCGCCAAGAGTACCACATTACTATGCCAGGAAAGCAAGCTGCAGCAGTGACTAGTGTGCACCTATAGTCTCAACTTCTCTCAATTATTCATTTCACAACTTTTATAGACCTCGACTTGTGTGTGCCATTTCTCTAGGACATGTGGCCTAAATTAGTGGCTAATAAGATATTCAAGAAGCGACTAGGTAGCACCGATTTTATAGCAGATTACCCAAGTTATGAAGAACCCTTGCTGGGTATTGTAGACATTCATCACAACTCAAAAGCCATTCTTCATGATCACAAGGACACACAAAAGTACAAGTAAGATCCAAAATATATATCATCTTTTCTATATATCTTATACATCATATGTAGAAAAGCTGATTAAGTTCAATTCTATTCTGGCTTGGTTCTGCTTCTTCTACAACTTTTTTCTTTCAAATTTTCTGATAATATTGTGTTTTTTACTTTATGTTAAGGGTATTTGTTAGTACATGGAACGTGGGTGGGATTGCACCGGATGAAGATTTGAATATAGATGACTTGTTGGAGACATGCAACAACTCCTGTGACATCTATATACTTGGGTATTGTCAGAACTGCTTCATTTTTTCTAGCAAAGAAAAAAAACACGTTTTGAAATGAATAAAGAAACTGAAGCTTTGTTCTATGTTTATTTTCACTGTTTCCCAATCCAGGTTTCAAGAGATAGTGCCTCTAAAAGCATCAAATGTATTGGGGTCCGAAAATAATGAGATTTCTATGAAATGGAATTCCATGATCAGGAAGGCTCTGAACAAGAAAACACATGAGAGGGGCAGAAAATTAGATCAACGTGATGCTAAAAAACATTTTTGTCCCAAAAAGGAAGAAAATCCAGCTAAGTACTGTGATGCCCTACATGATTTCCAATGTATCATTAGCAAGCAAATGGTTGGAATATTCATATCTGTGTGGACTAGGAGAGATCTTTGTCCATTCATTCGGCATCCAAGCGTGTCATGTGTAGGCTGTGGTATAATGGGCTGCTTAGGAAACAAGGTGACCTAACAATCCCACTCAATTCATGTTACTTTTGCACCTCAGCATCAGTATTTGTTTTTTATCCTGAGGAATGTTATACATTTTTCTTAATATCTTTTTTTTCTAATACTTTTTTATTATTGATTGAAATTTAATACTAGCAATTTCTTTAACACTCTTTTTATTGATAATTAAAATTTATTAAAAATCACAGATTTTGAGAATCTTGTTGCATTTTATTTAATTAGTCTCTTTTTCGAATTATTTGCACATGAACATACGTATTTGTTTTGTACTATACAAATCATCACTGTCAACATCACTTTTTATAAGCACCACAGGCACACTTGGTAAATAGTTTAATTAAACAGCTGTTTGGTAAAAGTTTATCACATAAGAGTTTATTCATTATGAAACTTATTAAATCAAATTTAAAAGTTATTTTGATGAGATTTCTTATCAAACTCATTGAAATGAGCTGAAAAATCATTATAAAAAAGTGATAAACTACTATTATAAGTCAAAATAAATTATGTATAAACTCCTCTACATGCCTTAATTAGTGGTTAGTAGTCAATAGTCTAAAGCTCGCATCAGAATTGGTTATATAAAAATCCTATTTGGGTTAATGTTGGTTTTGTGTTTCACAACTCCAATGAATTTGCAGGGTTCTGTATCAGTGAGATTTCAATTACATGAAACAAGCTTCTGCTTTGTGTGCAGCCATCTAGCTTCAGGGGGCAGAGAAGGGGATGAGAAGAACAGGAACTCTAATGTTGCTGAAATATTTTCCCGTACAATCTTTCCTAGAGGCCCTTTGCTTGATTTGCCAAGAACCATTCTTGATCATGAGTAAGTGATGTTATGTTTCAAACCGTCCAAACCGATTCTTAATAATTTTTGCCCCCCTTGCTTTTTATTTAATATTTATGGTCCTTTCCCAAAAAAAATCATGTAAACAAGGTGCAAATATTAAATACGTTAATGTTTCATTTGGTTCGTTGATTGGTTCTTGAAAAAAAATATTTTGTTCAATCAAGAAGTATCATTAATGATAATCTCCGGCTTTGAATTTGTCCAATAGGAATCATGCCGCCAAAACATTAATATATTATTCTTCGCTGGTTTTAGCGTTTTAAACTAAACTTCAATTAGAGTTAATTAACTTCGAGAATTCGTGAAGAAATTGTCTGCTATATGTATTACAGTAAAAACTTTCCAAAAGAAGCCAAACAGAACAGAACACTACACTGTAAAGAAATACTCCCTTCATTTCTCTTCATCTGTTTATTTAAGAAAGAATTTTTTTCTTCTACTCACCTATTCATTCAAAAATTTAACATAATACTAATTACTAGCTTTTCAATTGTATCTTTATCTATATTTAATTTTTAAATACTGTTCACACTTACTCTGAGAGAAATAACAATAGAGGTTTGTATAAGAAAGTTAGAATAACTTTAATAACAATAAAAATATTAATTACATTTCTTGAGTTATGAATAAAAAAGAATATTATTGTCTTGAGTTGAAAGAAAAACAAGGAGTATATTCAAATGACAGTAACAGTTAACCTCATATGGACCACTGAAGCATCAAATTAATGAAATATACCAGTCATCTCCCAACTTGCACTTAATTAGTTTCACTTCAATATACATCTTGTATTATTTTAGACACCTAATCACACCTTGTCTTATGCAGTCATGTAATATTGCTTGGAGATCTAAATTACAGAATTTCTCTACCAGAAGAAACAACACGCTTGCTTGTTGAAAAACAAGACTGGGATTCATTATTAGAAAATGATCAGGTATATTTATATAATCGGAGATTTAAACATCTCTTTGAATTCCTTTAAGAAAATATATTCTTTCAATTTGGTTGCATTATATATATTTATCTCTAAGACTTAATTTATCCAATAAAAATGAAGCTAATAATGGAGCTAAACACCGGAAACATGTTAAGAGGATGGCACGAAGGGGAAATTAATTTTGCTCCTACCTACAAATATTGTCCAAATTCAGACATTTACTATGGATGTTGCTATCACGGGAAAAAGGCAGAAAAGAGAAGAGCACCAGCATGGTAAGAGAATACTATATAAAATCCATAACTATATATGGCCACGTTCAAAACATTTACTATTGAATAATTATTAGTATTAAATTATTGTTTGTTATTAATTTAGGTGTGATCGAATAGTATGGTACGGTGAGGGTCTAAAGCAACTTGAGTACAGTAGAATTGAATCAAAACTATCAGATCACAGGCCCGTTAAGGCAATGTTTACAGCAGAAGTCAGGGTGTTCCTATCAGAAAACTTGCAAAACTTGTTCCTATCAGAAAGATTCGAACAAATTAAAACTCCCTTTGAAGTTTCCACCACTGATGATTTTGTAAGTAGAAAACGATCGAGCTTCCGGTTGTGAATCATTAGTATGGTTAAAGATCAATATTGTAATTTCATCACAATCCTGGTAAAAGAAAATGCATGTAAATGTGGCTAATGCAACCGTAATTACAATCAGAGACTAAAAAGACGTGTACATGTGGTTGCATGGTTTTTTGACTTTTTCCAAAGAAAAAAAAAACTTTGGTGTGATATATATGTACATAAATGTTTAATTTTACATTCGAAAAAAAAAAAAGAGCTAGAAATTGAGGAAACTTCTAGGAGATGACATATTATAAGTTTTGTTGCTGATGAATATACAGTGAAGTTGGTTGTTGTTCAATTATCCAGTATTTTATGTTATGTGACAGAATATGGAACTATGTCAAAGTCGATTGGAAAAAACTATAATCCCAAAAATACTTTCCTATCATTTGACGCTTAAACCCACATGCAGTGTCCACTCCAGATTAATAAATCATTTTTTTTTTGTAGATTGCAATCTGAGGATGAAATAAATTAAAGGATACAATACAAACTTAATGTATTATGATATTAAATTTATGAAACAACTAGGCATCCAAAATGAAAAGATAAATTATAAGCCAATTATTGAGCTAGTTAAGGCCCTCAAATTGTTATGTTTGATTGGAATTAAGTGGGAACATAACCCTCTTATCCTGTGTGCATGAAAAGAGCATAGTTAGATAATTTTTTTATTGATACGCGTAGAAGATATGCTTTTATAAATGCAACTAGGGAGAAATGAGCTAAGCGGTGTTTTTCTGACCAATGGTATATTATTTGAGGCGTGCACTCGTTGAGGGCAGAAATAAAAGAGCTTTGAATTTGAGTTGTTTAATCTATCTCAATCTGAAAGGGATCTTGCATGATTCGTATCCTCACTAGTGCTTGAGATGCTCGTCTAAAGGATATACAGAGCCACCTTTTCAAGGCACTTCAAATTTACAGTAATCACATTAAACATTCATTCTGTTCTTTGAATTGGTGAGGTGTTACTGTAATAATCCTAAATTAGGAAAAATATATATATCAAAGAAGGTTTCTGAAATTGAAATTATTGTCAATTTAATATGTGAAATGTATGTATAATCAATTATCATTATAGTTTCTAAATTTTATATTTTATTATCATTATAGTTCCTATAACAATGGAGCTAAAATAAAGGACTATTATGATAATGTCTTACAAGTTCAAAACTAAAACTAAAATCAGGATTTATTTGATTGTTCTATTTGTAACTATTTGACAAACCATCGTACTTATCATGGGAATTGACGATAAAGTAGAAGTTAAAAGAAAACATACATGAACCATTAGATAGATTAGCCAATAAAAGCAATTGATTACACATGTATAAAGTAAAATGTATGGAAATATACACATTATATAAAATCCATCATATATATTATATATGTCGTAGTTTAAACTACTACAAAATGTTTTTTGGATAGTCAGTCGAGAACTCCAAAAACACAATTCCATTAGAAGAGTCATACAACACAAGCCACCTCTAGTGTGACTTGACACCATCACTTTAGCCAATCATCTAACTTTGTCTTACCTGCATACTAAATATGATTATTGTAGTTTCAATCACAAGAAAAAGAAAGGTAAACTTATGAAAAAAATAACATGCAAAAATACAATAAAGGCAACAAAAGCATATGTCAATTATAGTACATCTCACAACTTAATAGTTTGTTCAACATTTATCAAATTTGTTATAACCAATATCTCATCATAGAAATATTAATAACCAATGTATCGTTACGCATATCAACTAAGGAAAACTCCTACAACAAAGGTGAATAATTTAAGTGGTTTGACCTTATCAAACTACAACATTAAATCTATCTTAATCAGGTCAGGTATAGTACAGTGTTAGACCTCGAAGAGAGTCAAGTATAAACAACTTAGTTTGATTTTTTTAGGTTTTGTCACTTAAACTAGGAAAAAAGATACTATGTCAACAAGGTAAAACAATTTGAGTATAGACATATCACAACATTAGCTTGCAACACTAAGTCATCTATGAGATTAATCCATCAACTACTCTCCAAATATCACAACCCTTCAATATTAAGTTAGAGACCAAGTCTCCAACTTCGTATTTTACTCAGTTAGTTATTCAATTATGATATGGTTTGACTACCTCCATATCAAACCACATAGACCTTAGAGAGAAGATCAATTTATAAACATCATAATTCTTCTTTAGCATTTATGTATCTTAATCAAGACATGTATCTCAACCACATGTCCATAACTTTACAACTTAACAACTACACAACATACAACTTACATCTTAACATCATTGATTCATCTATCAACTTACAACATGAATTAATATTCATCATTTTATATTATTATACATACATCATGGCCATCAATATTCATCAATAAATCATCATAAAATAGCATGTACACAAAATGTAGGTTATTTTCGACACTACTCAAATGACGTCCGACGCCATCAAGACAGAGAGTGCTCTAGTCTCTTTGCACCACTCACACCTGGCGCGATTGAGACAGAAAGTGTTGTAGTCTCTCGCACATGATGTGCTACGACCCACGCTCGACCCCAATCAGGTAGAGGACTTTTACCTTATTCACACTCGCGCCACACCTTTCAATGCTCGACGTGAACCTAAGCAGAGATGAATCTCTCTCCTCACGTCCAACGCCATCAATTTTGCACTCGACATGGAGAAAGGGAGGAAACCTCAGGTTGAGCTACGCCTGACATAGTGAAGGCAAGCCTGACACGATATCAGTTTCTCACTTATGTAGAATTGCTTTCTACCCAAAATCTTGCACACAACAACCCAACAACTAGCATTTTGCAACATACAACAACTATACAGTATAGGAACCTCAAGATTTATCCATCAAAAGCAACATGCAACCAAGTATCAAAGGTTCATCATGAGTAAAGAGGCCTACTTCAAGAACTCCCATACCCACAACTTAACCACCAAGAATCAACAACTCAATAAGAAATTAGAGGCATAAAAGCGTACCAATCAATATGCACACGACAAAACCACAATGTAAGCTTCCCTCTTTGGAGAACCAAAACTCGCGAGAGAGAGAAGGGGGAGAAAAAGCTCTGCACACTTTCGTACGATTTCGCTTTAGTCTTATGGCTTCACTAGCACCAAAGACCCACCTCTAACAATAATCAACTACATAGAGAAGAAAGGAAAGAAGAAGGAGAAAAAGGTCTTAGTCAAGGACAAAATGAGGAGAAAAATGAAAGAAATTCTTCACACTAGCTCTCACTCTTCTACTAAACCTGAGTGTTACACTATTTAACTACCATTTCGCTTGAATTAAATTTTGACGAATTGAAATCTCACAATTTTGTTAGTTGTTTTATATTATTATTTTAATAAAATTATATTTTTTAATAATTATGTATTGATAATGATACATCACTTCATAATTAATATTTTATATACTATAATATTATATTATATTCATAACAAATTATTTAATTTAAAATATGTCCTATAAGATACACTTTAATTTTAATTTTTTTTAATTCTATAACTTAATTATATATAATGTTTGTTAAGATTGATATTTTATATATTTTTAAATTAGGTTAATTTACTCCCATCTCAAATTATTGGATTTTAATTAAGTTAAATTTAAATATAAATTAATAACCCTATAAAAGTTTTAGAATTCCTAGAGATTAAGATATATTCGTGCTATAGAGTATAAACGCCCCCTTGTTTCCTTTCATTTTTTTTAATTATTAACTATTATTTTAGCCTAAATACGTATTATATATATCTAAAACTTATAAGAAATTATATATACAAATAAATATTATATTTAAATAATAAATCATATTTAAAATTTAAAAAAATAGATATTTTTAAAATATTAAAGTTTAATTTATAAATAATTATGATAAATAAAATTTAGATTAAAAATTATAAAAAAAATCTTCAAAACTTTCTCGTTGAAAAAAAATCTCTAAATTTTTTTTATGCAGTATAAAAATTCATATTTAATGTATAAAATTTGATTTTCAGGTGATCCAACCTTTCATGATCTATTTAAAATTGTTAAATTCTAACATGCATTAGTAATTGTTTACAAAGGTTCTAAGAAGAGTCCATGGATCGATGCTGGGGTGTGTTCAAGAATTGGGCTAGGCCTGGGCCTCTTACATAAGTTTCTTGGAAAAATTGTTTTGTTACAATAAAAGAACATATAGAGCGGTTTCTGGTTTCTATAATGTGCTTCATCAAATATTTGGGGGGAAAAAAGTCGGATATTACTGTATCAAATGATAGAAAATATTAATTAAGAAATAATCACGTATTCTTTTAGTTTTCTTTTAAAAAAAATTATATATAAGTGATTATATTTAAATATAATCACTTATATATAATTTTTTCTCTTATATAAAACATTACCAGCCTTACGTTAGTCTGACTGAAACTAATTTTTTAAGTAATGTTTCAAATATAAATTTTTTAGATGAAAAAAATATGATGAAAAAGAAACATCACTAAACGTGGATCAATAAATCCATTAGAGTTAGCCTAGTGGTTAGGCGGGGAGAAGTTGTGGTAGTAGAAGCATGAGGACCTAAGTTTAATGTTCACTGCGACCATCTTTATAATCTTTCATAATTTAAAAAAAAATATGGATCAATAAGGGAATTATACAAGTATAATTACGAAGATTGCCAATTAGTTCTCTCTTTTTTCCCAATGAATTACGTACTTACACATTTGACTCTCCACCAATATATATCATTTTTTGGATTGTTCTTTATTTATTGAAAAAAAATCATCTGGATAAATTATATAATTTGTGAGTATATTAGAATTTACAAGTTGTTTTCCTTATTTTTAGATATTCAAGATTTTCCACGTGAGGAAAATATGTAAGGTGGTGACCTAATTAGAATTCACAAATATTTGTTGGTAGTCTCAAAGGACAATTTACAGGGGTGCTAGCTTAATTATGGTGATTTACTGATTTTGGTAATTTTGGAGATATAAACGAGGAATGATATATAGACAGACAATTCTTTATAGAAAGAAAGTGAGCATAAAATGGTTTTGTAAAGATTGCAAGGTGATTTCAAGAGAAAGCTTTACTGCACAATATGGAGTTTTGATCCTTAATGTTCATTTATAAATGCATAAACAAAAAATCTGACAAGTTGTTAAATGTTACTCTAAAAATTATGAGATCAATGACAACATGATCAGTCTTAAAAACAAAAGTAAGTACCAGACAACAAAAGATTGATGGATAATTAGAAATTTTAAGTATGTTGATGAAGGTTCAATTTCGTTGAGAGGGTTATTTGGAAAGAGAAAATCCATTTTAATAATTTCAATACTTCAAAAAGACTAATTGTATACATGATAGTATGACACATGTAGAGTAAAAATTCAAATAAAATTGTAATAAAAAATTCTAGCCCTAACACTTGTCAAATGTAATTAAACGTGATGTCAACTCCTTCAATAACAATAGTCAAACGAAAATGCAATTCTCTTTTTACATTCACCAAAAACAAACAAGTATGACATACTTTACTTAATGCGATCATTTTCTCCGACCAATTGAAAGTCATCATCTTGTGTTCACCAATATTCTCTTCACTTGAAAAACTCGTCCAAATCATTAATTATGAGAATGAAAATTTTTAACCTAAAAAAAATGATTTTTTACATGGAACTAACGAAAAAAACAAACATTGATAATAATTAAATAAAACTAGAACTAAATTGGAAAAAAAAAATTAAAGGGGTTAAATGAATAATTTAGCCAAATAACTATTATTTTAACTTTTAAGATAATTATTTTTAAAATCTAACAAATTTATCATAATTTATGATTGGATAAAAGTATACCAAATTATTCATGTGTTTAAATGTTAATTATGTTGTATACCAAAGTGGATTTTCATTTGAGAGTATCACTTCCTATTATATGTTCTATATATGTTTTGTACAATACAAGGCCAATTTTTTTTTTTACTATGTAGTGCAAAATACAAGGCCAAACAAATTCCTAAACAATGTTTCCATCATTAATTTAATTCCTTTCTTTATAGGGACAAAATATCCTTTATATAGTGTATATAACTATTTTGATCTTTCCCCTTCTCGCATAACCCCACATCAGCTACGTAGCTCTCGTTTTTCAATTACATATGTCTTTATCAAATTGAAGTTAAATAAAAAGATGTTAAGCTCCTTTATCAAAAAAAAAATGTTGTTGTTAAGCTCCACGGTATAAAAGAAAGCAATAGAGATTAGGATAGGAAAAACTCTAATCTTTACCTAAAGATCAACGTACGTACCATGGTCCCATTTTCAACCTTTAGAATATTTTACCATTTAATTAAACGCAATTAGTCCTGGCATCCACCTTTTTCCCCTCCTAAAGCCATAACCAAGGAAAGACGAGGCACGTAATTGATTTTTGTTACTTCTTTTTGGTGACATTGACACACTTTTATGTCAGCTGAAGTTTTTTTAATCGCTAGTATTTCTTTTGATCGGTAGCATTTTAATACGTAGAAATCAAGGTATCATCGTTGCCCCACTTTCACCTTTAAAATACTTTACAATAAATTAAGCACCATGATCGACAGTCTTTGGATGAATCCTCCTCCAAAATTCACACCATAACCTAGTACAGTACTCTATTTCATAACCTAGTACGAGAACATTAATGTCTAAAATTCAATTATTGTGACAACATGGAGAATTACATTAATTACCGTGCTGTTTGGAACACCTCATGCACCAAAGCTTGCTCCTCCTCACTGCAATTCGTGGTAGGCTTGCCGCTGCTAGACGCGTGCATGACTTCACCAAATCTCTCGTCCATTTTACCATAATGAATTTTGGTCAAGTCAATTGCTACTTCCTCACTCTTCTCCTTAAGGGCCCCACCTCGACCATGAGAATAACAGCGTTGCAAAGTCAACGCATGCTCCAACCCCTTGACCACGTCCTTCATCAAGGGCCGTTCCTTGCCATGATCGTTCAAACAACTCAACGCAATCCCCACAAACTTCTTCAAACACTTGGGACTAATGGCCCCCTTGAGAGCGGGATCCACCGTCTGATGAACATTCCCATCATGATAGCACCTTCTAACCCACGCCACCAAGAACCCCTGGTGCTTGTCCACGGTACTCTCGATGGGGGCCCTCGCACACAACACCTCAAGCAAAACCACGCCGAAGGAGTACACGTCAGACTTCTGAGTCAGCCAGAGACTCATGTAGTACTCGGGATCCAAATACCCGAAGCTACCCTTCACGTCCGTCGTCACGTGCGACGCGTTCGGCCCCACCTTCGATAACCCGAAATCCGACACCTTCGCCACCCAATCCTCGTCAAGTAAAATGTTCGTGCTCTTCACGTCGCGGTGGATCACGCTCTGCTTGTCCACGCCGCCGTGGAGGAACTGCAGCCCACGCGCCGCCTCCACGCAGATCTTCAGCCGCCGCTCCCACGACAGCCCGCCGGAGGAGCCGTAGAGGTGATCGCGGAGGGTCCCACGCGTCATGAAGTCGTACACCAGGATCATTTCGCCGCCGTCGTTGCAGAAACCGATGAGGGACACCAAGTTGGCGTGGCGAAACCGCGACAGCATCTTGATCTCGGTTTCGAACTCGTGCGCGCCCTGCTCCGAACCCGGTTTCAGACGCTTTATCGCCACGGGCTTCTCGCACGTGTTTAGGTTTCCTTTGTACACGTTCCCGAACCCTCCTTTTCCCACGATCAAACCCTCGTCGAAGTTGCTCGTCGCGGCTCTTATCTCCGCCAAAGAGAACTCGCGGCAGCGCGTGCTTGAAGAACCCGGGTTCCCATCTCTCGCGATACCAACTCTTCTTCTTACACATCGGAAGATTATGAATCCGATGAATGATAACACGAGTAACGACGCAGCCACGACAGAGGCTATTATTGGAATTTGAATATTGTTTTTCTTTGCTGTTTTGGGTGGTGTAGGAGGTTGTGAGGGCTTGGAAGTACTTCCCAGGTGGTTTTTGTTGACTCCTAGGTTGATTCTGTGCACTGTCTTGAAAGTAGCACTGGTGAGTGTTTGATAAAGATGGTTTGGGATGGATAAAACCTCGATGGCGTTGATGAAGGCGTAGGCTTTGGGATGAGCGGTGGAGCTAGGAATGAAGGTTATGTTTAAACGGTGGTTGGGTTCCACGTTGATGTAATGTTGTGTTGTGAATGTTGGTGAGGGGTAAGCATGATTGTCTGCATGGAGTGAAGCGTTGAAATGGTTGAGGAGGGTGTGGTGGTTGGCTTTGACGGAGAAGAGAGAGTAATGGCGAGGGAAGGCGGGGTATGAAGTAGGGTAAAAGTAAAGGCGGAGAAGCTTTGGGCCTTGGGTGAGGGGGAAGGTGTAGGAGAATTGGGAGCGTGAGAAGAGCGAGGTGGTGAAAGGGATGAGTGTGTTGTTGAGTGAAGGGTGGTTGAAGCGTTGAAGGGTTATTGAGAGTGGTGTGGTGTCTGCGGTCCAGTTGCGATTATCTGGGGAAGTTTGTGAGATGGTGGAACCGCAGTTGATGGCGAAATTATCTGGTGGAGTGTAGGAGGTGATGTGTTGGAGGGATAGTAGGATAAGGAAAGAGGTCATGCTGTTGGTTTTGAGGTTGCCCATAGTCATGGATGCTTCTTGCAACAAACCAGGAGTCATTACATAAGGTTAAAACAAGAACAATGACAATCGTACACCTTGTTAATGTATGCAGACAACACAACAAAAGCAAACTCTCATTAAGGTGGCAAATCTGTCTATTTGCCCATCTTTCTTCCCATCTATTATAATATAAATAAATAATAAATTCAATTTAATCTATTCAAATAATTTTATCATTAATAATCCATTTATTACTTTTTTTAAAATGTATAAAATCATAATATAAGATGTTTATTTAATTTATTACTTTAAATAGACTAGATAAATTGAATTTTTATGTGAATTTTAACAATTTGAATGAATTAATTATTATTTTTATTCAATTTATTATGATCAGTCTAAATATTATTTGATTTATTTATTTGTCACCCTTACTCATGATGCATACTCTTATAGAATTTGAAAAAAGATATTTGTATATTTACAAATAGATTAAAAAATATATTAGTGATTAAAGTGTACTGATAATTAACAATATTACACTCTCTCGATCCTTATTGTTATTATTATGTTGCATTATTACTATGCACCTATTTAATAGTCATGAGTGTTTCATTAATATCTCCCAAGATCTCATTTAAAAATAAATTTTATGATATTTTTTAATAGGAACAATCTTATTAATTATAAATTAAGTTTTCAAAAGTATCTTTTAGATCAATTAAATTTTAAAATATCATGTCAATTTTTTATAATGACTATCCAAATAAATTATTTTATTTTGAAAATAAAAAAAATGTAAGACAAATTTGAACCAAGGGAAATGTGAAATATCAAAATTCCTTTTGACAAGCTGTTTTCTGATTATTTCTTTCCCTCTCTAGCTTTTCCTTTGATTCTTTCTATTTTCTTGGTCTTGGTCATCATGCTTTGTGTTGTGTTTTGCCACTTGCCAAACCAATTGAAGCTGCTTTTTGTACCAGTGTGTCTCGTGGAATCTGCAGTCATGTAATATATATACCAAACACCTTTTTTACATCTAGTTTCTCATTGAGTTGTGATTTTTTACTCATTTCTAACATTTTCTTTATATTTTTATCTATCCCTTCAATTAAATGTTTCATCGTAAACCTTTGAATCGAAGTTTCGCAACACGGTTAAAATAGAAGCAACACGAAAAAAGAATCAACAATTCTTTAAACATATATATGAATAAATTTAACCATAATTCAAAACGATTTTTTTTTCGAAAGTTAACAATTAATTTTTTAAATAAGTTAATGTGAAAGTATTTTTACAAATTAGCTTATGATAGAATAATTTTAATTTTTAAATAATTTCTTTTTTCTATAAATATTTATGGAAAAATTTATTCAAATAGATTTTTTATTCTTTCTTATCCTATGGTATGTTTATTTTTATTTTATTTTTTAAATTAGCCACCTTGAAACTATCAGTTAAGTTAAAATAATATTTTACTCGTTAACTAATGTGCTCATGGTTTTTTAATTTGATTTTAACCTTAACTTTACTTTAAAAATCAATATTGTAGATTGTATATATCATATAAAATTATCAAACATTAAAATTGAACCAAGTGTTGAGATACTATATGCAGTTCTTTTTTTTTTAAAGGGTGTTCATCCTTAATCTTTATTAAAGCAAAAAGTTGGTAGAGGGACAAGAACACCTTTATCAAGCAATATAAATTATACGTGCATGGAAATTATTTGGAACCCCCCACACATGGAAAAGCATTTTCAAGAAAAATTCGTGGCAAACATTATTTTATCTTTATATAATAAAAAGACAGGCACGACACGACACTATCCAATTGAAAAACATCCCATAGACAATGACATTATTTTATCAATTATTATTTATATAATTTTTTAGAACTTAATTAAAATGATTTGCAAGTATAATTAAGTAATTTTAACACTTCAATTTAATTAAATATTATTGTGCATAATACTTTTGTTAATTTTTATAATAATTATTTTCAAATTTATATTTAAAATATTTTATAATTGATTAATAATATAAAGTTTTCTATAATAATATTACACAGAAATTAAAATCTCTTTTATTTTTCTTTTCAAAAAGCATTATTATTATACTAGTATTATTGACCTAATTGTTCTTCTTCTTCCTATCTTTTTTTTTTTGTTTTTGTGATTTTTGTAATATCTAAATTTTTATATTCAAACCTTCCTTTTTTGTCTTTTTTTTTTTTACATAAACTTTTTTCTTGTCTCACTATCTAGCATTATGTGTGGCAGCATAATACTACAAAAATGTTTACATATGTTAATGCTAAATGGAACCAATGTTGTAAACGAAGACTAACAGGAAGAACGAAAAATTAAACGTTTGATTATTACAAAAATCATAAACAACACAGAAAAAATAAAATTAGTAAATAAAAGTATAAAAAAAATAATATATCAACAGGGTAAAAAACGCCAAATAGAACTACTAGTTATCTGCGACGGAGGTTAGCAAAATGTTATAATATTGAGATGGATGGGTTGTTTTAGATCATGATTCTTATACGTTTTCTGATTGTGGGAGTACTACAACTTTTAATTTTTAAACTTTTCTATACTCTTGCGAAAATGTCCTAGCTATATCTGTGCCTAGCCCGTGGTAGGTGGGGCAAAGATTGCCCCTATGCATGATCATACAAGTGTCACGTTAGTAATATGCAATCCATTGTCATTTTGTTGACATTGTATTAGAAAATAACTCCAGTTAGGGCTAATTAGGAGAGTAAATGAAAGTTTTGGACTTTAAATACCATGAAAATTTATTGGCTTTAGAATTTGGAATATTAATGGTGCATGATGTTGATTGAATTGAGGCTAACTAACTACCTCCCCATAATTAACAACCAAAGGAAGCCTCGATGCCCCCACATGATAAACCAAAACAGTTGTTAAATAACAAAAGATGATACAATGAAGAAAAAACATTTGATGAAATTTTAACCAACTAATGAAAGATTAGAGTTTCTGCAAAACTTCATTCATCAAGCAAGGATTGGCACTTTGAAATTCAATCAACTCTTGCAGTGTAATAGAGCCATCACCATCTGTATCAATCTCTGCCATTCGACGTTCAACTTCCTCTTGTGAAGTTAAGCCAAGCACTTTGAGAGCTTCCGCAAACTCGGTTAACGAGATCTTGCCATCGCCATTCACGTCAAAGCGCTTGAAAACGCGCTCACACTCGGCACTATCACCCATGATTTTTTTCTTCACGATCACCAGACAAATTGACTATCATGTGCATTAAAAGGGTATTGGGATGAATGAGTGAGATTTTTAACAAGTCAAAAAACAAAGGGTGCCTCTAGAGACTCGGTCTTGTTGCTATATTAACGGACCACCTTTGGAATTCTACCACATGCTAGCCAAAATGCTGGACATTAATTTCATTGGTAGGAACTTGTGTGACCAAACGTTGATTTCATGCCTTCAACTTTTTTTCAACTATATATGACCAATTATATTGCCCGAGATTCATGGCCTTGCTTTCCTATAGTACTTGTGACTAATTTTAGTTTTATAGTGATACATTTTTTTTTCTGAGGTAGCAGCCTATGTACCTTAATTACTACCTCAATTGGGAGGCTAAGGCTAGTTTTTATAATTTTGAAGGTGATATGTATAGACCTAAAGTAGTAAGAATGTAAGATATATAACTCATATAGTGAGATGGGTCTATCCATAAAACTAAGGAAAAAAATTTGACATCCTTGAAGGTATATACACGCCCTCTTCACAAAGAGAGAAAATAATAAACATGAAGAATTGTGAGATAAAAATAAAGTAATACAGAGATAAATGTAAAGTGATATGAAAAATAAAATGTAAAATAAAAAATTTCTAATTGTATAAGACTTGTGTCAATTTGGTCCTATTTTTTTCTTTTTAAGGGGCTTAAAGTGTTATTTTGTTGTAAATCATATCTTATGTTTTAATATATATACCTTAATTAAAAAGATATATAAATTCTTGATATAAAAGAAATAAATACAAAAGAAAAATAGATATAGTTTATTTAAAAAGAAAAGAAAAGAAAACAAATAAAGTGATGTGTTATACATACTTAATTATGGCTATGAATTATTATTAATAATATTTCACTTTAAAACTATTAAATTATTTGTGACTTGGATCTGAATCAAGATACCTTGTTAAGTCGAGGGGAACGTAGTTGTAAAAAGCATTTCAACATTTAAATAAGTAATTCATTCAATGTAATAAAAGCAAATATATTGTGAATAATGTATGTATCTTGAAACACAATATTATTTATACTAATCGCGTTGGACTCAGATTTCAATGAGTCCTAGTCTAAGATTATCAATTAGATAATTAAATTGGTAGTATGCTTTATATTGTGCTTAGACCTTAATCACTTAAATTACCTTTACACAAAATGATGAATTATCTATCTTGTTTAGCACATTGTTGAACGAGTGTTCCTAGACTCATGAAGGTCTAAAGTTGTTAAAGGAACATGTCTAAACTTGGAAGAGGGCCTTAATATTTAAGGCTATTGAATGAATGTACTTACTCTCACAAGAGTGCCTCGGTATTTGAGGTTATCAAACAAGTATTCATGGACTTGTGAGGGTTTCTTGGTGTTCGAGCTTGCCGAAAAAACATCACTAGACTCATAATGTTGTTTCGATGTATGAGGCTGTCAAATGATCGATTTCAAGTGGCCAAATGGTATATTCGATAAATAATTGTTTAGCTATAATTTATATATGTAAATAGGGTATTTTATAAATCAAAGTCCAAATTTATGTTGGTGAAGAGTTTGTTAGGTTGGAGAATTTTACACTAAGAAACATCAACACTATGGGTAGTGAGGAAATTATACAAAATTATTCAAAGTTAATCAACATACCCAAATTTATGATAAATGATGTGATATATATATGACCACATTGTGAGGCATGCATTTGGGGACTTTTTTTTTTAATATACCATTTTTTTATTTATTTAAATAACCTAAACTCAAATATATTTACCTAAATATACCACTTAAATTTTTAGGTGAGAAATTGGTTACTGGGTAACCGATTTCTCAAAGAGATTTTTGCAAATTTTTTAAAAATCCCTTTGAGAAATTGGTTACCCAATAATCGATTTCTCAATGGGTCATTTTTTTTTTTTGTTTTGTGTTTTTTGTTTTTTGTTTTTTGTTTTGTTTTTTTTTTTTTTTTTGAAATATTTTTTTTCCAAATTTGTAATTTTTTTTAGTTTTTCAGTTTAAAATATTTAGATTTTTAAAAAAATTATAATGAAATTTTTAAAAATTAATTTATTTATTCTTTTTATTTTATATTATAAAAATGTATTTAAAATAAAATTTAAAGAATAAAATTGAATAAAATTAATTTTAAATAGAATATTTAAAAATGAAAATATATTATGATAAATGACAGCTTTAGATAAAAACAATATTAATTGAGATGAACAACTTGAAATAAAAATAAAATACAACAATAAAATATTATATCCAATGAAAAATAACAACAACATAATTACAATCTATGAAATTACAATCCAACTTTAATGATGTCTATGCCCACCCATTCCACACCTCGGAGGTTGTCAGTTCCTTGTTGGGTTTCGACGACCAATGCGTGGTTATTGTGGTTCAACCTGGTCCTCATCATGTCCTATATTAACAATATCGGTGACTGGATTTGACGAACTACTTCCACTGACCTCAGAGTGATAAGACGAAAATGAAGGGAAATTCATGCTTTACATGTAATTATATGCACTTTGTGGCGTGTGTACGTCGACGCCGAAAAGATTGCTCATGAAGTTTCCTGTTGGAGTTGTTGTTGATATGGTGGTGTGTACATGAATTGTTCATGGTGCGTATGAAATGATGGATAAGACTGGGAATGTTATTCCACATTATAAGGTGGGTGATTATCTCCGGCCATTGGGAATGTTGTTGCAGTTGTTGTTGGGAGTTGCGTACTAGAAGTGGATGCATGAGATGAAGAATACTGGCTACAAAGAAATAATTTAGAATTAGCACGAAACCATTGTAAATACTCCGGAGTGTGTTGGAGAGGCCCCTGAAGTGGTTCCCCAAAAATAACATGTTTGCGTCTGTCTTTTCAAATGGAAATCCAGTCTGCATGTTGTTCAGCCCAGTTGGTGTCGCTATGTCCTCTCATGTCTATTTTGTGCATTTTATCAAGATTATGAGCTTCATTGGGGATTGGTTGCCATAAGCCAAATTGCAATTGGACTCTATCAGTTTGATACCAGACTACAACTGCAAATGAAGTTAAAGCAATACAAGTAGTCCATATTCTAGAATCCTTATAAGCACGTGTTGGCAGTGAGGACTGAAATTCCCTATATGGCATCCATAGAAACTCAAAAAGAAAAAGGTTTAAGGTATGAATGAATTGAGTATAAGAGAGTATGTTAGAGAGAAGTTTACATTGTATTACCTCGTTATGGTTCATGTTGTCATATCTTAATCTATAGCCAAGTAAGTCTCCATGGGGCGTGCCTGAAAATATTAGCCCTCTTTCTGACCACCTAAAACATTTGTACATTTATAAAATTTTAGGTTAAATATTTTACTTGTTTGATGTATTAAAGTGGTATAAAAATTAATTCATACCTCGATACTAGTGGAAATGTAATATCCCGTTGGACTATTAGTTGGATTGAGGACATGCGATACCAAGCCCAAAACTGTAGAAGCAAAGAACATCCACCTATTTTCTTTGAGGATGGATAGATTGCCCTACACATTTCTCTATACAAATGTGTCAAACAAGAAGAACCCCAACTATATCATCCTGCATGTTCCAAGTCAGCCAATAATGGTAAATACATTAAGTGAATTATGTTACCTGACTTGTCTGACATAATGACACCACCGATCAACCCTAAGATATATGCTCTACAATGTTGGAGCAATTGTTGTTCAGTGGGTTCATCAGGTAGTGCAATTGTATGGTCTCTTAACCATTTTAGTTTTATGTTTGAGCCAACTAGAGCTTCCCCTTTCGGAGGTACGAAGCCTAACAACTCGTAACATAATTCACCATATTTCAACATTACTAAATTGTTCATTTTTTTCTAATCTGATTTCACAGCTTATGGGATGACTGAGCCAAGATTCAATTACTACTACAACACGCTAAGGAGCGAACCCGAAATCGAAGGTGTAATTGAATGGCTCATGAACACCATACCAAAAGAACAATGGACTCTTGCATGGGACGGTGGCCGACGATGGGGACACATGACTACCAACTTGGCTGAGGCAATTAACTCCATTCTTAAAAAAATAAGAAATTTGCCAATTTTTGCAATTATCATGTTGACTTATAAGAGATGTAATGCCTTATTCATCAAAAGGGGAAGGAAGTCGATGCTAAACTTAGGGCTAGCCAAGTTTATACGGAAATAATGAATAAGGCCATGAGAGATGCATAATCAAAGGTTAATACTCGTCATGTCCTTGAATTTGATCGTCACAGTACACGTTTTTTGGTGCAAGAGACTATTAACTCAAGGGAAACACGACCTACTGGAACTTTCACGGTTAGACTACATGACAACTGGTGTGACTGTGGAAAATTTCAAAAACTACACATGCCATGCTCCCATGTTGTTGCTGCATGTAAGCATGTTCACCACGCTTATAAATCTTACATTGATCCGGTATACACATTACAATATATTTGAGTTTAGGATATTTAAATAAAAAATAAAGGTATATTAAAAAAAAAAGTCTGCATTTGGGGTCCTTTGAAGGTCTTTAGTTTTTATAATCTCCTTTCTCTTAGAAGTTAGACGAAAGAAGCAAGGAATAAAAAAAAGTAACCTGTGTGGAAGCAGAGAGCAGAGAGCAGAGAGTGAGGGAAGTGAGTTGTAGAAGCAATGGGTTGGGGGGATCCCCGCGCGAGGCACGCACGAGGCGTAGTATCAGGCAACAAAGAGCGCGCAGAGTGGAACAACCTCATCACCCACTACTTCGAATCAAACCTCTCCTCCTACGGCCTCTCACTCTTCCACCACCTCCCTTCTCCCCCCAACGTCGTCTCATGGACCGCCCTCATCTCCGCCCACTCCAACACCCTCCTCTCCCTCCGCCACTTCCTCGCCATGCTCCGCCACCCCACCCTCCCCAACCCCCGCACCCTCGCCTCCCTCTTCGCCACCTGCGCCACCCTCTCCCTCCCCGCCCTCCCCTTCGCCCTCTCCCTCCACTCCCTCGCCCTCAAACTCGCCCTCTCCCGCCACCCCTTCCCCGCCTCCGCCCTCCTCTCCTTCTACGCCAAGCTCCGCATGCCCCTCCACGCACACAAACTCTTCGACGAAATTCCCCACCCAGACAACGTTTGCTTCTCCGCCTTAGTCGTCGCCCTCGCTCACAACTCCCACTCCCCACAAGCTTTATCCGTCTTTTCCCACATGAGACGCCAAGGCTTCGCCTCCACCGTCCACAGCGTTTCCGGGGGCTTGCGTGCCGCCGCTCAGCTCGCTGCCTTCGAGCAGTGTAGAATCATTCATGCGCACGCGGTTGTCTCCGGCCTTGACACCAATGTGGTGGTAGCTAGTGCTCTCGTTGATGGCTATGGTAAAGCGGGTGTTGTTAACCACGCAAAAAGGGTTTTTGAGGATAATTTCTCTCATATGAATATTGTGGGTTGGAATGCAATGATGGCTGGTTATGCTCAGCTGGGGGATTACCAATCTGCTTTTGAGCTTTTTGAGTCTTTGCAAGTTCGTGGGTTTTTGCCTGATGAGTATAGTTTCCTTGCCATTCTGACTGCGCTGTATAATGCTGGGATGTTTGTGCAGACTGAGCAGTGGTTGACGAAGATGACGGTGGATTATGGTTTGGAACCGAGTTTGGAGCATTATACGTGTTTGGTGGGTGCAATGGCGCGTGCTGGAGAATTTGAGCGTGCCGAGAGGGTTGTCTTGAAAATGCCGTTTGAGCCGGATGCTGCAGTTTGGCGAGCTTTGTTGTCGGCTTGTGCATATCGTGGTGAGGCCGATAGAGCTTGGTCTGTGGCGAAGAGGGTGTTGGAGCTAGAGCCGCATGATGATTATGCTTATGTTATTGTTGCTAATTTGTTGTCGAGTGCAGGGAGGTGGGATGATGTTGCGGAATTGAGGAAGATAATGAGGGAGAGGAGGCTGAAGAAAAAAGGTGGGAGGAGTTGGATTGAAGTGCAGGGAGAAGTTCATGTTTTTGTGGCGGGGGATTGGAAGCATGAGAGATCCAAGGAAATTTATCAGAAGTTGGCAGAGCTTATGGGGGATATTGAAAAATTGGGGTATGTTCCGGTTTGGGACGACGTGTTGCATAATGTTGGGGAAGAAAAGAGAAAGGAGGCTCTTTGGTATCATAGTGAGAAGTTGGCTGTTGCTTTTGGGGTGTTGTGTGGATCTGTACCATCAGGGAAGCCATTAAGGATTGTGAAGAATTTGAGGATTTGTAAAGATTGCCATGAGGCTTTTAAGTATATGACAAGAGTTTTAGAAAGGGAAATTATTGTGAGGGATGTCAACAGATACCACAGATTTCTGAATGGTAACTGTACTTGTAGAGACATATGGTAGCATATACTATTGACAATAAACATATTGGAGGCTTGTTTCTAATGACAAATGATGCTGAGAAAGAAAACTGATATTTCTCATAATGGTAAATCTTGTTCTTACTTTCATGTTTTTGTTTGCATTTTGAATTTTGAGTTAGATCGAGTTTAAGATATTGCATCACAACCTTTCTAGTGAAGTCTGTCTGATAGTTGAATTATCACTTTGAAAATTTAAGTAAACAAATTTCTCTTACAAACAAGATTTGTGGAAATTTTATTATTCCCACTGTTAATTTCTTGTTTTCCTATGGTTTTTACATGAGATGCAGTTAACGAGGCTTTGGGTGCAACTCCACTTAACCTCTTGACATATGATGCTTGAATAACGTTCTGAAACTGTTAAGGTGAGGTGAGTACACTTTGTGTCTCTTGTACGTACCGGAATGATTTCTTGTATGAGACATGCTGTTTAAATTTTGAGCTTGTGCTATTTCTCGATTGAACAATATATTAAATAGGCTATGCAGAGTTCGGAGTCTTGCCTACGGAAAACTCTGATACAAAATTACAAATGCAAAATTTTCTATGGCTTCTGTCTCAATATATTCAAAGTGAAAAGTTCAAATGCCAATTAGGGAAACAATGTTGATGAAAAAAGAGGATGTGAGGGGCCAAAAGGTAGGCTAAAAATAATTAAAAAAAGAAAAAAAGAAAAAAAAAGCCTCATTTAATTATCTGTTTAAAAAAGCAAGGAAAAATGATATATTTTTCTTTATATTTTTCTCTTTCGATGACTCTGAAGCCACTTAAATTCATGAATTGCTCTCTAGAATGCTAAATTATGTGATGAAAATTGATGTTTCAATCTCAGTAATCATTGGTAAATTAATGAACTGTCATTTTGTCAGAGTACACTACTTTTTCTTTGGGTGTTCCTAAAGAAGTGTTTTCAAAATATATTGAAATTTTTTGGGATGAATGGCCATGGTTTTGCATGCATTGATCAATGTTCACCCTCATTTAGGCTTAAGGGACCTATTTGTACAGCCAAATTGTTAGTGGCACACAAGTGAGATTTTTAACATTCGACACTCAAGTCATTACAAGAATGTAAATAACGAACCATTTTTTGGTTAGCTAGTAAGGAACATGGTTTGGCAGAATTGAACAAATATAATGTTCTCCATGGTTAACTCCACCCAAAACACCACCGGGTCCAAAGTACATGCAGTTAGAGTTCAAGTTAATCGGATTCATTTGTTAGCACATTATTATTTTGAGAGATATGCTAACAACACACTTTATTATTGATTGAAATATATTGAAAATTACAAGATTACGTGAGTCTTACATCTTATTTAATAATTTAATAAGTCTTACTTGCGATTTTGTTGTTTCAATTAAAATGTGAATTGTGTGCGAGGCATTGGAATGACATTTGGAAATCAAACTTCCAGAAAATATAAATTTTTTTCCTTTGGCAGGTTCTTCGAGTCTCTTCCTATTAATCTTATCAGAGTGTTGTGTCTTGTTGTTGTTGATTCTTCCTGTCCTATCTGTGGTGTAGCTCAGGGATCGCTTCTACATAGCCTTCGTGACTGCTACTCAGCCATCAAAATTTGGAAGGGCTTTCCATTTTGATCAAAGTCCCCTGTTGTATAATGTTGATCAGGAACCGTGTGATCAAAGGCTCCTTGGCTTCTCTGGTTTTTATGGCACTACTACTAATTTGACAGCGAGTTACTTGCAATCTATAAGAGGCTGTAACTAGCGTTGCATTCTGGTTATAGATTTGTGGCTTGCGAGTCTGATTCTAAGCGTGTGTTTGCTTATACGTTGAAAACGTGGAAAACCACGTTCAACGTAGAAGCTATTAGTAATAGCTTCTACGTTGAACGTGATTTTCCACGTTTTCAACGTATAAGCAAACACACGCTAAGTTCCCACGTAAAAACCTCAACCTCTTTGCACTACTCTAGCTACTAGATTTAAATTTTAAATTCAAAGCTGATATACTTTAATAAAGTCTTCATCAGCTTATACTTTTTTCTTTTTTTAATTTAAAATTCAGATGAATTGAATCTCAAGAATTCA